TTAAGATTTGCATCAGGAATCTCTTTCAGACCGCCGAGACTAGCAAGTATCAAACTTAGTCTTATTAATTTGATACATTAAGTATCAGTTACACCTTTTTACAAAGGTGTGTTTGAACTCAGAATCTGACGTATCCCTGAAGGCTTTGATCTGTTGAATATACATGCAAAGTGTTCCATAAAATCCATTCTTTATGCCTCTTTCTATGCTGAGTTAAACTTTAACCCTTTCCTATACCAACTGTATGTGTGTGTGTGTGTGTGTATGTGTATGTTAGACCAGTTTATGTGTTTATGTAGTATGTTGGACTAGTTTAAGTGTTTATGTAGTTAATAAAACCTTACTTGTATCACACTTGACGTGTTCATTGTTTGCTCATAACCGGAGTCAATAATCATGCAGATTTACGTTACAAGCTTATAGAATTGTACAGTAAGAAAGTTATTTCCCTTAACCAGGAAATTAACGGTCTTAGAATTGACAAGACAGTTGACCCTGAGAGGTCAGCTAAATATCTACAGCGGATCTAAAATATGAATAGTTAATTATAACTAGTTATGGTTAATTATTCATATTTCCTGTCGTTGAGCTAAATTCGCTACACAATATAAAAATTAAAACAAAATAAAAATTTTAAATAAAATGTATAAAAATAAATAAATCTAAGAAATAATTAAACAAAAAGTAAATATAAAAAATTAAAACAATCAAATAACATAACACTTAAAAAAAAGATATAAAAATAAAAAATATCACAATAAAATTGCAAAAAAATGTAATATAACATTTTAAATATATAAAAATATATATAAAATGAAAAAACAAAAACTAAATAAAATAACATTTAAATAAGATTTTAAAATAAAAATAAAATATCAAATATAACAATATAAAATTTAACAAAATAAAATAACATTTTAAATAAGACTTAAAGGAATAACAAAATATTAAATAAAATACAAAAATACTAAATATATTAAATAAAAACTAAATACAATTTTAAATAACATTAAGCGCTAGTACAGTCCAATCCCAAAATATAGTAATAAATCCCATCCTAGCGTGCACAGTAGAAAGCTGCTATGCACATGCTCCACATTTCTGTGATGTCTAAATGAGTCTAGGATATTCATTTAACGCCAACAGCTGTCTAAAGCGGCTCAATTACACCACATTATAGCCGTGCTTTCATTTCAGTATTCAAGTGTTTAGCATGTAAATCTATTCGTTATGAACCGTACAGTCATGAGAGAGTAAACTGCAGTCTCATGTTTAATGTACAGTCCACGTCAGAAACAGAATCAGGATTTGACGGGTCTTTCCTCTGGAGTGTGTCGCTGTGCAGTCAGCAGCGGTCCAGAAACACTTTAATCTACAAACCACATCAACATACAAAAGTCAAAAGGCATTTTTAAATGGCCTTTGGTCATGAGTGTGAAAGAAAGTAACACTAGGTGATCTGAACCGTGTGATCGCTTACCACGCCGGAGCACGGAACAGTTACTATTTTGTGTGCGCTATTGTCATTACGACCGCAAACATCTTCTATTACTACTACTACAGTACACTTTTCAATTGCTTTAATTAAATCAAGTATATTTAGGTTTATAACGGGTCTGGTTCTCACCTTATTGATGAACAGGAATCGTAGTTTACAAGTAAAGCTGCAAATTCTTTCATTAACGTCAGCTGCCTCCGTAATAATCCTCTGATACATGCAAGTGAAAAATGCTGCACTGCGTAAATGATACATTTATTGGGCAGTCTATTAGCGAAAGTGATTTTCTCCCTGTTATCTCGTACATGACGTAAGCATGCTCCGGTGCAGAATGTTTAGTGCAAGTGTGAGTGCAGGCCAGTGGAGGATAATCGCGCTCGAGCTCAGTTCAAGACAACTGTTCCTAGTGCGAGTACACCCTAAGAAGGGAGCAGGAAAAGCAAATTGCCCTATGAACCGTAAGAATCCAGTTGAAAGCTCATCAAAGCTCTATTTCCTGTGTCTACTCTACTACAGGAAGAAGAACATCAAGGGGACCAAATAATTAGACTTTTAACAAGAAATCACAAAAAATGCAAGGTAGTCCCAAGTTTTTGGATAGTGAACAACACCAGATTAAACTGCAGCTCTTAAAAGCTCAATCTTTAAAATAAAAAATATATGTGGCACTTATATAACCAAGTTAAAAAAAAAAAAAAAAAGACTATGCCAGTGGCTCTGTCTATTTCCAGCAACACTAATACGCAGCAAATAATACATGATCGATTCAATGGAAAATGATACGCGAGAACATTTCTGGCTCCATTCCACACTAGCGAGGGAAGAAAAAAAAAAAAAACACTAAACAAAGAAAAGCAAGAGGAGGAAGAGCAGAGTGAAAATAGAAACACTGACAGCAGAAGAAACACAGCATGTTTGCTCAGCAATAATGAAATTTGTTTCATGAAGCAGATGGCTTGTGTGAGCGGTTTTTAAGCCACTTCCCTCCCTGCCAAAGAAATGTCAGTGGATCAGGAAGGTTTTTGGGTGCGTTTAGTTGCACCTGGATATTATACCTGGATTTCCAATACTACTTGCATCATCATGAGACAATCCTGAAAAAACATAATTTAGAGGAATGTGATTCATTAATTCATTCAGCACACACAAGCCAATTAAATGTTTGGCCATGGCCTGTTTCTACTAAAGGATGTAACTTCTGAAAGCAATGCTAAAACTTAATGAAACTTGGTACATAGTCTAAGACAACAATAGTTCTGTTCAACCAAACTGTGATCATTTTCTAAACTTTAGCCATTTATTTAGACCCTTAAGATTACAAAAGTTGGCTATAATTTCAGTTGTTGTTGAGCTGTGTTTGTCTTTATTTGGCATTAATGGAAAGCGCAATGGGCACAACTCTGAAAACCAAGGAGGTTACTTTTTTGTACGACTACATCATCTCAAAAAACAGACCTAAATTTCATCCCATGAGACACAGAAAGACTATTTCATCAGTAACCAGAGGTGGTGGTTTTTCTGTGGACTCAAATTTGTTCTTAAGACCTGTGGTTAGAAATATCAGTGATTCTACTCAAACACCAGGTTTGTGGCCATTATTGGCTACTTCTGGCCACCATAGGTGGTCCTCTATGAGAGGATTTATTGATTGGATGAGATGATGTCCACTGATGCTGGTCATTTTAGTTCACAGTGTGAAACGGGGATTCTAGGACTTTCTCCACATCTGCCAAACCCTGTCATTTTTCAGGCTGTGTACATGGGAATCAAATAACACCAGGATGAAATGCTCTCTTTTTCACCCCAGTTTTCCTTTGCTTGACATTTTCCAAATAAAACATCATACACACATTTTCTACAAAGAATATAAAGTGAAGACTACACACCAATGAGAAATTATTCAATTTGACATCCAAATGACACCCATCATTCAGGCGGGTTTGACAGCGACATGTCCTTACCTGTCAGCATCGGTCACCAGGGCCAGACGGCCGTAATCCCATGCCACTTTCCGCAAGATGGAGAAGACAAAAAGAAGAACCTGAGATAGAGATGCAGAGACAATCAGCCATGTGATAAAGACAGAAGTCAAACTAATACATACATTTGGTTTAAAGAAAGGTGTCCAAAGCTAAATGTTTACAAACATATTGTCTATCCAGTAATATAAGAAAAATAGCGCTTAAGTGCCTATACTCCTGAAAGAACACCATTTATGGGATTTTGATTCATTAATTCATTCAGCACACACAACTGACCCTTCGCCAAGAGCTTGATTGACAGGCGATCTGACCAATCATAATGCCAAATCTGCCATTTTGTCCGACAAATAAACCAGACATTATTTATTGTTTGAATTTCTTTAAAAAAAAAAAGACAAAATTTGAAAGCTGACACTTTGTTTCATACCTAAAGTAACCTGCTCTGTCTTGCCTGTCGGCGTTTTGTCAGTGTCCTCTTTGCTCCACGATGTAGTTTTCAGGGTGTGAGGACATGATGTGTGGCGTGAGAGCATCATGGCTTGTCGGACATAGAACCAGTAACTAAGGGGGGTGGGTCTTTGCTAAGGGTCAATTAAATGTTTGGCCATGGCCTACTTCTACTAATGGATGGACAAACCCAAATACATTTTCTCAGTTTAAACATTTGATATGTCATCTATGTTGTATTCTGAATAAAATATTGAAATTTGAAACTTCCACATCATTGCATTCTGTTTTTATTCACAATTTGTACAGTGTCCCAACTTTTTTGGAATAGGGTTTGTATCTTCTGAACACAATGATCAAACTTATTGACGTTTGGTACATATGAGCATCAGGACAATTTGAGGGAACGCACCAATTTTCATCCAATTCCATCCATAGGGGGCACTATAACTAGGAAATCCTGATAAATCTGTGGTTTTGATCAAGGATGTTCAGCACTTGGACAACAATAATTCTGTTCTACCCAACTGTGGCCATTTTTTCCAGTTTTGACATCTATTTAGACCCTGATAATGACAACAGTCATCAGATTGAAGAAAAGAAAAATGCAACTAATAAATCTGAGGATAAATCAAGGCTTGATTTTTCTGCTGACATGGTTTGGGGTTTTTAATCATGTTTACTAGGGGTGCTCTGATCAGGATTTTTGAGGCCGAACGCCGATCACAGAAAGCAGTATTTACCGATACCGATAACCGATACCAATCTTTTTAAAGCCTTCTTTTTATCATTTATAACTATTTATAGTGATCAGGGTTTTTTGACATTTATTCAGGGCCTGAATTTCATTTTTGAAAATGGGGGGGAATTCCCCTCTTAGGTGACTCTTGTGAGAGAGGAAGCAGTTTTCACACAGGAGTCTGCTACTGATCCGTGGCTGTTTACCACAAACACAACATTTAGCCATTATTTTGATTTCAAATCCAAGCATTGTAAAAATACTTTTTCAGCATTGCAATTGTTTTTTTTTTGCACAGTACAGTAATACAATCTTTCACAGACATGTTTAAACACAATACATATAAGCAACACATTATTCAATGCTTTTCACTTTTGCATTTACTTCTAGATTTATATATTAAGTTGCACCACACACGCACTGCAAACGGAGTAATGTGAACCTGGCGTTATGTGTGCTGCGAGTGTGCATGAGCGCTAGCTCTCCAGGAGAGCGTGCCAATAATAATAATAACACCAATGAACATTATTATTATTACAACAACAACATCATTAAAAATGCCTTTGAGTAATAATAATACTAACTGTAAATTACATAATATAAAATAGAATCAAATTATAAATACATTTAAATAAATTAAACGCATCACATAATACAATAACATCTATAATATAAAATAGAAGAGGATGAAAAAAATCCACACAAAAAAAACTTATGTATTATCATTATTTAAAACGTAAAATCGAAATAGGCACAAATGTGATTCTAAAAACAATTCAATCTAATAAATGTAATTCTATTTTGTCTCCCTGAAGGCATAAGACTTCATTCAAAATATAAGAATGACTGATAATATACAATTTTATAGGCTTGCCTCAGTACTGTCTGCTCATGTAATTTTTGATGATGAATCGATTAACCATTTTCATAGATCGATTTCATCGTTTTTAGGCGAGAAAGCTTTACTTTTAAGACCGAAAGATTGTACTCTTTATATAAAAAGTGGCCATAAATTTACAAAGTTTTGGGTGATCTATTCCTGCTGCAAAAAGTGCTAAAAGTGGGACAATATCTAGCATATGCAATGGAACGTGTATTTAATCTGTTCTAGTCTGGAGGAGAAACACCGTAGGGGTGTAACGATGTTTAAACCGAACCGAAAAACCGCGATACACCACCCATGATATGTACGGCTCCTCTCAAATCTGACGATGCATGTAGAATATGGTTTGTTGAAAATACCAACACGTAAAACAGACCTATTGGCTTCCCACATTACAACAGCAATGATCAAAAAACATGGACAAACAACACGGAATGCCGTTTGCATGCTAGTATAGCAGTCACTTGCGTCTCCATCACCCGGGTGTTGAAAATGTGCGAGCGCAGGTGAGACATGAACAGCTCACACTATCTGTGTTTAAACTAAACTCATTTGCTGTGTTTTTAAGCCTTGTCAACAGTGTTGGGCAGTAATTTGTAATTTGATTACTTTTTAGTAACGTAGTCATTTAACGCGTTATAATTTTCAAAATAGTAATTTGAGTATAGTTACAAGCCGAGGTCTCTATACGTTACTGCCGCGTTACATTGCTGACAGAATGCAGTGTTTTATAATCTGGAGATTGTAAAAAGGATGTAGCACACGCACTGTCGAGTCAAGTGCCAGTGGATTAGACACCTGCTCCCGTGAGACCCGACGCAACAGAGTGCGGCGCGGGACAAGACTTGAGTGTAGAGACTCGTGTGTGTGTGCGCGCGGGATGCGGGAGAATAAAATGATTCACGGGACTCCCGCAAAATAGAAATATCTAAACATAAAATATCTAAAACAAATAAATTGTTATGCATCTATTGCACAAAATGTGCGTGTTCACGAATCCTCTCATTATAACACATGAATTGTAGACATTATGAAAGATTCATTATGCATACATTTATTGTGTTATAACAGATTTGTGAGATTGCGATGAACTGAGATGTCTTTTAGAGATTATAAATGCAGTGCTCTTTGCTGGCATTCTGCCATACTGCTTTAATTAAAAATAACAGTGTTCTGTGAATGCTGATGCTTTAATAACAAATATTTATCGGGCGTGTGTATGCTGGGATTTCATAAATTTCATGGAGAAAAAAGTAACGCAACTAGTAATGTAACTAATTACTTTTGAAATAAAGTAATCAGAACAGTAACATGATTACTTTTAAAAGGAGTAATCAGTCATTTGATTACATTTTCAGAGTAACTTGCCCAACACCCTAATAATACATGAGCACTAATCGTGGAAACCCTGGCTTCAGTGCTGTGGCCCTGCTGTATGTGAAACAGATTGTGCTACATCACAGTGTCGGTGCCAGTAACGGCGGAGGATGACTGGATCAGCGCTGAAGAGACATGATCCAACCCCTGGCACTGTTCAAACAGTGCACACGAGTGGCTAATGGGCTCGATTCGCCAGCTGAGACTCAGTGAGACGCAGGCTTAGCACAGACAGAGACAGAGACAGAGACAGAGAGAGAGAGAGAGAGACAGAGACAGAGACAGAGACAGAGAGAGAGATTGAAATTGACAGAGAGAGAGACAGAGAGAGAGAGACAGAGCGAGAGAGACAGAGAGGATAAGGTGAGATTGAGCTGCAGTGGCACTGCGGTAGATTGTTCTGCTACACTGGCCTCAACTCTCCTTAAGCCACAGGAGCCATTCCAAACACCTAGTGTGCTGCCTACATAGACAGCATCACAGACACACTCTACTGCAGTATTCTTATTGCTGTATCATGTAAATATAATGATGAAAAACAAGTTTACTGTATTACATTACATACGTATGCATTGCATTTTAGAGGCCTATATTTTAGCAGATAAATCTAAATGTATCAAATTTATTAGACTTTAAATAAATTACTTAAATATATAATATAAAATTAATAAAAATGAAAAAATACGCAAATAGGAAAATATATAAAGAATAGAAATAAATAAAATATACTAACAAAAATAGAAATAAATGTAAAAATAAATATTAAATATAAAGATATAAATATTTCTACATTATCTGTAGTGCCAAATATAAACTAAACCCACTGAGTGTCTGAGTAAAAACCAGCTGCTTTTAAATGCTCATATTATGCATCTCTTTGTATGCACTTGTGCACTGCATGGTCAAATGTTCTTGGTCAAAATATCCGTCTTAGTAACATATTAAATTCAAACAGTCGGTTTATTTCACAATAAGAATGCGTCTAATGAACCTGCCACTTAATATTAAACAACAATATTGACAAGAGTAAGAGAAAACCACCATGTTTACTTGAAAAGTACATGACATTATTAATATTTACCATAAATAAATAATAATAATAATAAATAAACAAGTTCAAGGTCATTTTTAGTCCATCTCGACAAGATGGACTAAAATTAATAACAAATCATTTTATTTGTAAAATAAAACCTGCTTAATTATGCACACCTGAATATAAGGTGTTTTTAACTTCCATCCTTCATAGACAATTATATATCATTTATAAATGATTAAAGACAAAACGAATAGTAGTTATTAAGATTGATGTGGTTTGGAATTGGTAAAATGTGCTTGGAAAAACAATATGACCAGGATATCAACTTGCATAATAATTATGCACGCACTGTAGCACAGACGGAAAGCCTGTGTGAATGTCCCCTTAGTAGGAAGCTGCCTATGCAGACAAGGGAGCTCAATAGATAGTGAAACAGCACTAGTGCAAGCCTTTGGTCTCTGTTCAGAAGCAGCATCACTCGTGCATTCAGAACAAACACACAGATGCATACAATCAAGCAAAATAGTCACAGATGCAGATATACTGAACCAAATAAGAGGCAAAGCACAACAGACGGCCAATAATGGAGTTTTGGCACAGCTATAGTGAAGAAACAGACAACCTGTCAATGTCAGAGAGTGCTCAGGTTATCTAAAGATGCAAGAGAACGTCCTGACAGAAAGTCAAAGCAGCCCGTCACGCCGGTCAAATAACGTTCAAGAGGCTCATGGTTCATCATCTTTACAGTAAGACATGTGGTCATTAATATTCTCCATTCATCAACGGAAAACAAACGGAGCAAAACTGTGAGTGAAACTAACGCGGCTCTCAAACCAGATGGCAGCGCAATCATTTCCATTCATTCAAAGCATCACAAATGATGACTATCACGATTCATAATCCATATGCAATACAGCTCAACAGGATTCCAAAAATAAAAACCGGCATTAAAAACCCCTCAAGACAGACGCTCTTAAATGTGTATCTTTAACTACACATGAGACTTAAGAGAGTTAATTACTGACTGGTTGTTTAAGCTCAACTCATCAAC